AAAAAAACAGTTTTTAGTATAGTTTTATTTAACAATAATAACCCGGACGAAGGGAATGACAAACATTAGAGAAACTGATACAGCAGTAACTCAAACGCTGTCCAGAGAGTCATGGGGTTAAACTAAGGTTGTGAATGTTTGACACGTGCCTTATCGCACTGAAACGCTAAGATATTTTAGCCGTCAGCGATGACAGACATGGACAAGTGAGGGTCATAATTCAGAGGTCTGTGAGACTGCTTCAGATTACAGAAAGCAATGTTCTTATTATAACCAGACACGCTCACAAGTCCCTTACAGTATCCATCTCAGGAAATTATGTGTGTTTATATTCATCTATGGCTAATGGCAGACACTGTACACTGCACAAATTAATGTGAACTCTAATAATCTTTCACAAATAAACCTAGATAGAGACAAAAACGGTATCACCGAACAGTTTTAATTCCTACAATAGTAAAAGTAGATTGAGAGGCTGTGGACACCATGTGTGTTCTTGTGTTTAAACTAGGGCTGCTCAATTATTTAAAAAATCATAATCAAGGTCAATATTGAGATCATGATTGTTTAGCACTATTACTCACTGACTTTGAAAACATCACCCATTTTTTGTACTTAATAAAAAACATTTTCAATAAAGGGTACATTTCTCTAAACTTCAAATATAATTCAACTGATAGATAAAAATGTTAAAAAAAAAAGTAAAGATAAATTGAAATAATATAAATAAATGTATTACATTTACACATTTAAATAAATAATATAAAAACAATACAAATTCATGAAATAAAAATAAGAAGATAAACTATGTTGTAGTGCACTTCCTCAACTTCCTGAAAACGACTAAACAACAATCATTTTATCTCAGTTATCTTGTTTTCATAATTGAGTCAAATTTATTAGTATATCCACAATACAAATTGTCTCAAAGCGGTTTTATAGAAAAATTATGATGTTAATGTTTACATCATCTTCATGCCTTATAGTCGCATTTAGCAGATTAGAGCTGGGCAATAAAAGAGTTTATATTATCACAACAGAGATTTGCTATATGGTATATATTGCTTTATGTGAGTAAACTGTATGTATGTAGGTAAAGTTGGATGTACTATATATATATATATCGAACTTTTAATGCATAGCTGATATAATTCTGTAGATAATACAGTTCACATTTTGCAACAATACAGAAAATCAAGCAGTTGAGAAAATCACAAGCGGAAATAAAATGGAAGTTGAACTTGATGCAAAACAGACGGTCAAAAACGATGCACACAATGACCAAAGACATTCATCGGACTCGTAATATCAAGATTTTGGCCATAAATTGACATTTAAATCTGCCATACTTTCTATACCGGTGCATCCCTAGAAAGTACCTGCTGATGTTAAACTGTCATTATCTGCAGATCAATGCGGTTGACGCTGTTCTTACCTAGTAACAGTTGAAAGATATAAAACAAGATTCCATAGACACTGTTTGGCTGGTTTACTGCACTGTCGTTCCCAAAAATGGTACCCAACAGTCCAAATCCTCGACCCCATCTACAGAAAAGATGAACACAAACAGAGAGAAACAGTAAAGAAGAAGAACTCAGACGACATGAGAGACGGGAACTAAAAATAAACTAATATCATGTGTGAGCTCTGGGTTTCTGGAGGGAATACAAGCACATTATGACAATATTTGGCCTAAATCAAATCATACAATGATCAAGACAGCAGCAGCTAAAAAGCAGTTTCCTTTTATCAGTGCGAATGGAGATTTCTAACCCAAATTGATTGAAATTACACTAACAAAGGAGAAATGTGGTAGTTTCCAGTCACATCCAATTCCAGCATAAGTACATACAACAAGCACACATAATTAGCCAATTAGATAAAGTAGTGCATGTTAATTACATTAACATTTGGT